GGAGGGAGGGAAGGAGGGAGAGAAGGAAGGAAGGAGGGAGGGAAGGAGGGAGGGAAGGAGGGAGGGAGGAGGGAAGGAAGGAAGGAGGGAGGGAAGGAAGAGGGAAGGAGGAGGGACCACAGCCCCTTTCTCCCACGCTGCTGTCCTGGGACCAGGAATGTCAGTGTCTTTACCCGAAGCCCCCTCCGACCCGCTCCTCAGCCGACCGCACCTCCCCTCCGCGGGTCTGCGGGCCTGAGAGGTCCTCTCCTGCCGGGGTGACCTCCCGGGATGGCTTTGTCCTGAGCACAGGCTGGCGCGTCCCTCAGCACTTCCATTTCCCGTCTGCCCTCTCCTGGCCTCTGTGTGAACCTGGCCTGGTGACCGGCCGGCCGTGGCCCAGGAGCTGGGGGATCGGCTCAGACGCGAGCGTCACAATCTGCCTCCCCCGCCCAGCGCCCGGCGGGACGTGGAGCCCTGCGGCCGACTCCTCCTCGAGCCCCCAGCGCCCCTGAGAGCCTCGAGCACCCGCCGCGCCGCCAAGCGCCCCAGACTGCAAGGGACCCCGGGCAAGCAGTCTGCAGAGCGGACACCGTGGCACAACTCGCTGTCGCCCGACCCCTGATAAGACGTGGACCACCATACGGGACACGCGACTGGAGAGGGGGCCCAGACCTTCTCTTGGTGGTAAAAGGACTTTTGTCTCCGCATAGCCCGGTCGGCAGCTGAGACGCAGGGGCCAGGGCAGCTGGATTGGTGCTTCTGTCTCCCGGGGCTCCCGAAACACGGTGCCACAAACGGGGTGACTTAAAGCCACAGAGATTTGTCCTCTCCCGGTCCCGGAGCCCAGGAGTCTGAGACGCGGGTGTCTCGGGGCCGCGCTCCCTCCGCAGGCTCCGGGGGAGGCTCCTTCCTGCCTCTTCCGGCTCCTGGGGGCTCCAGGCGTCCCTGGGCTTGTGGCCGCGTCACTCCAGTCTCTGCCTCCGTCTCCACGTGGCTTCTCCTCTGCGTCTGTGTCTCCTCTGCTGTCTCTTAAGAGGACACTGTCACTGGGTTTAGGGACCTCCCTAATCCAGGATGATCTCATCTCGAGACCCTTAATTATATCACAAAGACCCTATTTCCAAATAAGCCCACGTCTGACATTCCCGGTGGACACACATTCCGGGGGTGGGAGGAGGAGGAGGGACAACATTCCGGCCACAAGAGCTGCGGCCACAAACGGAGCCGGGCTCACGGTGGAGGCTGCAGGGAGGCGGTGGGCTCGGGCCGGAACCTGGGGGCGCAGAAGGAAAGCAGGGAAGCAGAGTGGGGAGATGTCAGAGCAGCTTCCTTCGCTGTGCAAAGACAAGGAACAGATTCCAGCGCCAGGAGGTGCAGTCGAGGGCAGCTCGCTGGAAGGCTCGGACGTGACCCCAAACACTCTGAGCAGCTACGTCATCCAGGACGCGGGTGGCCTCCCCGTCCCGGAGGGTCTTTCCGACGGGCCAGCCAGGAGCGCCTCGGCCCCCGCGTCCGTGCCTGCCGCGCCGCGCGCACTGCGGCAGGAAGTTGCTCAACCGCATCCGAGCGGTAAGCACTCAGTATGATTGTCACAAGGGGAACAGCGCCAGAAAAATTACAAAGGAAAGCGGCATTTTCCAAAGAAAGGGCGTGTCCCAGGGAAGGCAGCCGCGGTTCCTCACGTGGCCGACCCCGGGGTCCCAGCCCGACGGGGAGAGATAAGGGGTCCCTGACGGGCGCCTGGACACGCCAGAGCCGCAGTGGGTGTGACTTTTTGGGGTGGGGCGGCATCTGGAGGCTATAAAACAGCTGAATGCAGACAACGAGCTTTCGTTTCTCTTCGGGACGACTTCCTTCAGCACCAACGGGACAGCAGCCAAGACTCCCGAGAGCAGGGACCCCCAGACCCACCGGACTCGAGCCAGGACTTTCGTGTGCAGTGGAGGTGAGACCCCCGGGGCATTTGTACGTGGCCGTTGCGGCTGACACGTGTCGTCCGTGGACAACACACACACCAGATGCGAACACCTGGCACCAAACGAGGATGCTCTATATGCCATTAGCAGTTTTTATGTTGCTTATAAGCTGGGGGGATCCCATTTGGGGACCTTGGGTTAAATAGTGTATAGGATTAGAATTAATTTCACTGTTTTTTGGGGGGTTTCTTTTGCCTTTTTAAATGTGGCTCCCAGAAATTGCAGACACGCAAGGTGGCTGCAGTTCTGTTTTTGCCGGATGGTGCTGGTCCATGATGTCCAGGGCTGCTGGCCGGTGAGCGGCTTTGGGGCTGGGACCCCACCCTGGGCACAGTGTTTGTTCGTGACTCTCAGAGGCTAGTGAGTTGCAAAACTCCCCAGATGGCTCGTCAGAGCTCAGGTCCCTCGTCGTGGCGTGATTGACAGTAGCCAAAAATTGGACGCAGCCCGAATGTGCGTAAGCAGTGGTGGCGGTCTGGCTATACACTGGAATAGTATTCAGCCATGAACAGGAAGGAGATTCCGGCACATGCTGCAACATGCGGATGAGCCTTGGAATCTTTGTTCTCGGTGACAGAAGCCACACCTAAGTGACAGAAACCACACCTAAAAGGCCACAGAGTGTGTGGTGCTGTTTATAGGCTAAGTCCAGGTGTAGGCAAATCCATACAGATGGAATGGAGGTTACTGGCTGTCAGGGGCTGGAGAGCGGGTGGGGAAACACCACTTAATGGTCTGAGGTCTCCTTCTAGAGGGATGAAAATGATCTGGAAGTTGGTAGCGGTGGTGTTCGCACAACACTGAAAATGCACTAACTGCCCCTGAGTTGTACATTTTACAAAGCAGAATTTTATGGGAGGTGAATTTCACATTGATGAAACTATTAATCAATAAATTTTAGGCTGGGTGCATTGGCTCATGCCTGAAGTCCCAGCACTTTTGGAGGCTGAGACAGGAGGATTGCTTGAGGCCAGGACTTTGAGACCAGCCTGGGCAATATAGCAAGACCCCTTTTTTTTTTTTTTCCTTTTTTTGAGACAGACTCTCACTCTGTGACCCGGGCTAGAGTGTCATGACATCAACATAGCTCACAGCAACCTCAAACTCCTGGGCTCAAGCGATCCTCCTGCCTCAGCCTCCCGAGTAGCTGGGACTACAGGTGCCACCACCACGCCTGGCTAATTTTTCCATTTTTAGTAGAGACAGGGTCTTGCTCTTGCTCAGGCTGGTCTCAAACTCCGGACCTCAAGCAATCCTCCTGCCTTGGCCTCCCAGAGTGCTGGGATTACGGGCATGAGCCACCATACCTGGTGGAAAGATTCCATCTTTACAAAAATAAAAACAGTAGCCAGGCGTGGTGGTACACAGCTGTATTCCCAGCTACTCGGGAGGTTGAGGCAGGAGGATCGCTTGAGCCCAGGAGTTTCCTTCTATTCATAATTTGGGGACAAGTTCGATACAGTGATGTGTACAATGCAATTTGGCTCCTTAAAGCACGTTAACCTCTTCAAGCGAGGAAGCATGCCGTACCCTGCAAGCCTGACTCTGCAGGGGCCATCGTGTATTTCGGGACCTCAGTTTACCCGAGCAGAACCGAGGAGCAGGCACCCCAGAAAGCCCCCATTGGCCAGCCCAGAAGGCCACTGGATGTGTCCGCACTAAATAAGGGCAAATCCCAGGCCGTTCTCTTCCTGCCTTTGTTTAAAATTTTGATATTTTTCTCATCGTGGATGTGTCGCTTTGGTCTTTTTAAAATTTTATGTATGGTGACAAGAGGTTTTGGAGTGGCCGCTTACGTTTTGCACCTGCCCGCCCCACCCGAGTCCGTGTGTGGGAAGCTGACTGCGGGGCCTGATGGGGAATTCTGGGTCTCGCCCACTGGGGGACGGGCCCCTTGGTCCGTAAGGGGCGGTTTTGGTCTCAGCACCCACTGTCCCGTGTGTGAAAGTTGGTCCCTGCGGGGAACCCTTGCCACTTGCACTGTCGAAAAGCTAAATCTCCTGTGAGCCCCAGGAACGGAGAACGGCATGGCAGAGGCTGGGAACACCCCGCAGCGGTAGGGAGAGTCGCAGCCCAGGTCTTTGGTCCTGAGCCCGGTCCCCCAAGGCAGGTGAGGCTCTGAGGCTCCTCACAGTTGGCCGCTTGTGTGACAGCCCTGAGCTGGCCGCCACCCCCAGGCACCGGGACCCAGCAGGGGGACCCAGGTATTGCTCTGCCTCCGCTATCAGGTCAAAGGGGTAGCCGAGGGTGATAACAATGTTTGCAAAAGATAACTGGGGTGGGGGTCCATGGGAGACCCCTGTCCCACTGGGCCCAGCCGGGCCACCCACATGGAGGGCCCCCAACAGCCCACCCGTAGGCGAGGGTTTCACGGGGACTCGGGGGAAATTCCAGGCTGGCACGCTGAGATCTCGCAATGCTCAGTTTCCGTAACTGGGTCTGTTTAGGAAGCTCCGCCTGCCTCGCTGTCATAGTTTTAATTAGACTTTCCTTCCACTGTTTTGCCACGAGAGCGTTTCCTGGTGTGCCACGTGGCATGTGTTTTCCCGACTTCGGGATAGGGCTGGACCCAAGTGCGTGGTAACCCCCAGGGTGGCAGCTCTTTCAAAACAGGCCGGCACAGAGACACACACAGACACACACAGGCAAACACGTGCATGCTCACAGACAGCGCACACAGTTGCACACACATAGATGCACATACATGTACACACATTTGTGCACACACATGCATACAAAAGCATCCACACACTTGCATATTAATGCACACGTGTGTGCACACATATATACACAGGCATACACGCATATATCCACACACATGCATATTCATGTAACCATGTGTGTGAACATGAAGATACAACATGCACACAATACACACATATATAGACAGGCACACACATGCATCCACACACATGCATACACACGTGTGCACATGCAGATACACAAATGCACACATGCACAGATGCAAGCACACATGCAGATATTTATATACTTGTTTGCAAATACACACACATATGCACACACATGAATTCACATACACAAATCCACACACTCGTGTGAACACATGCATACACATACATCCACACACTTATACACGTGAACATTCATACACACACATGTGCACATGCACACACAACACACAGACACACATCCACAGGTATGTACACACATCCACACAGTGCATATTCATGCATCCACACGTGTGCACATGCAGATACACAAATGCACACATGCAGATATTTATATACTTGTTTGCAAATACACACATAAATGCACACACATAAATGCACATACACACACCATGTGCACGCATACATACATACACACATTTATACAGGTGCGCGCACACATATACACCCACACACATATGCGCACGCACACAAGCACATACAAACACACACATGTATAAGCACATGTGCACAGTGTGCATTGCATGCGTGTGCACCTGCAAGGCAGCCTTCCCCCTGCAAGGAGCGCGGTGCACCCAAGACCTGCTCCCGAAGGAGTGCAGCCCCCGCGGCCCCCCCAGCAGCCCCGCGCCTGCCCCTCACTGGCTCCCTCTGCCTCCCCCGCAGCACACGCCTCCTTCCCGCGGCAGCGGCGTCCACCATGGCGGTGCTCTGGCTCATGCTGCTGTTGATGCCGGCGTCCTGCCTGCTGCAGACCACCCAGGGTAGGTACCGGAGGGAAAACTGGGCGTGGCCTGCGGGCCTGTCGGGGTGTGCTGCCGTCCAGTGAACCTTTTGTGCGTTGAGAGCATTGTAGATTCACCTGCAGTCGTCGGGAGTAATGAGACAGAGACAGCCCTGTGCCCCTGGCCACGTTCCCCGCAGAGTGACGTAGCGCAAAACTGTCCTACAGTGTCACAGGCAAGGTCTTGATCGTGACGCAGACACGACGTCGGGGGTTTTGCTGTAGCTCAGGCGTGGGACCAACGACCAACCTCCACTTGGTGTTATCGTGTGGGTAGGAGACTGTGTTCAACGTGTATCAAATTATTTCTGGGCACGGTGACAAAAAGACCCTTGTCATAGTCTGAACTATGTCTTCCCATATCCCTGTGTTGGTGGTCAACCTCCAAAGGTGATTTTATTTGGAAATAGGGTCTTTGCAGATGTAGTTACTTATGTTTTTTTTTTTTTGAAACAGAGTCTCACTCTGTTACCCGGGCTAGAATGCAGTGGCATCAGCCTAGCTCACTGCAGCCTCCAATTCCTGGCCTCAAGCGATCCTCCTGCCTCAGCCTCCTGAGTAGCTGGGACTACAGGCACGCACCATGATGCCCGGCTAATATTCCTACTTTTAGTAGAGACGGGGTCTCGGTCTTGCTCAGGCTGGTCTCAAACTCCTGAGCTCAAGTGATCCTCCTGCCTTGGCCTCCCAGAGTGCTGGGGTTACAGGCGTGAGCCCCCGCGCCCGGCCGGTACTCAAGTTAAGATGAGTTCACAGCAGACTAGGGTGGGACGTGAGTCCAACATGACCGGTATCCTTGTAAGAAGAGGAAATTTAGACACAGACACAAAGGGGAGGAGGCGCAGTGCAGGTGCAGGCAGAGACTGGACTGATGCGGCCACAGCCAGGGGGACGCCAGGATTGCCACAGCCACCGGAAGTAAGGAGGAGGGACATAGGGCAGATCACTCCTTGGAACCCCCAGAAGCAACGAACCTCTCCGATGCCTTGATTTCAGACTTCTGGCCGGCAGAGCCGTGAGAGAGGAAATTTCTGTTGTTTTGGGCTCCGCGGTTTGTGCTGCTTTATTATGGAAACCAGCTAGCGCACAAGTAAATGTCTTTGTTTTGCCGAAAGGGCACGGTTATGGGTTGGATAGTGTTCTCAGAAATCATGCTGAAATCCCAATCGTCCAATACTTGTGAACGTGACCTTATTTGGAAATTGCGTCTTTGCAGATAATCAGGCTAAGATAAAAATCGTTCGAGCGGGTCCTAAACCAACACCATCGACACCCGGGTCTTTGCAGACGGTCAGGTTAAGACGGAATGATCAGGGTGACACATAATTATATTTCTTAAGTATTAAAAGTGAGAAAAAGGTCTGCTAGGTTTACCTGCATGTCAACGATTTCTGGGACAGCCCCTGTGAATTCCTTTTTATTTTTCTGTCATGTTCTCTTTCTCAGATCTGAGTTTCTGTCCGTGGTGTTTTCCTTCCACTGGAGGAAGCTCCTCTAACATTTCTTGTCCTCCTGGTCTCCTGGCAACAAATCCTGTGGTCTTTGCTAGTCTAAAAATGTCTTTATTTTACTGGCCACTTTTGCTGGGTATAAAATTGTAGCTTAATAGGATTTTTTTTTTCTTTTCAGACTTTAAAGAGATCTGTTATCTCCTGTCTTCCGCTGTTTCTAATGAGGAATCAATACTAATTTTTATCTTTGTTCTCTAATGTGTAGTGCGTGTGTTTTCTCTTCTGGCTGTTTTTAAGATTGTCCTTAAACTACTGCTGTTGCTTTTTTTAAAAGCAATGCAATTACGGTGTCCCTTGGAGATCTGGCTTTGTTTGTGGGTTGGTGCATGTGTGTGCATGTGTCTCTCTGTGTCCTGTTTACGGTTTTTGAACTTCCTGGATCTGTGGGTTTATAATTTTCATTACCTTTAGGAAATTTTCAGACATGATGTCTTCAAATATTTTTCTGGCCCACTCCTTGGAAGTACGTGTACTCCACACCACCTTGTATTGCCGCCCAAGTCAGTACGCCTCTATT